TACAGCAGTGTCTTGTCCATACACTAGAGTCAAAGAGATGTAACATAATATAATCTTGGTTCTTTTATTAATCTGAATCATACACAATAAGTGATTTCTTTATCAATTATTTTTTATTAAAAGTTAATGCAATAATAATATACCTAATGGACATTAAGCTTTATATATGAAACAATTAATGCAGAAAATAAGTTTCTCAGCTGTGTTAATGTTATTGTTTATTTGTACAAGAGTAATGTTTGTAAAGAGTAGCAATAATGAATGTCTGTGGCAACTCGGTCACCATCAACTTTACTTCCACTTCATGTCAAGTAAAGAGAGGTTAACAGTACCAAATTGTTATGTTTTGTGACGTTACTCACTATTCGTGAGTTTTGATAAGAGTAATGATTTGAAAATTAAGGTATCGAGAAACCAAAATGCCACACATAAAACTCATACAAGGAAATATAATGAAGTATCAGCAGTATATTTTTTTACTAAATTATGGAACAAAAGTACTTCCCCGGTTTGTGATGCAGCAGTCCACAATTGTATCTTTTCTTGATAGATTTTTGTTTGTTTTTCGTCTTTATCTTCTCCGACAGATAGACGTTACATATTTGTCTGGCACGATTATTTGAATGTAAGCGATTATATTTACATGGTAAGATCAATTATCAACACTTTAGGCTTTGTTTTCACTTTCACAAAACTAATATTAATAAATATCGCGATATATTTAATTTAAATTAAATTTTAAATAAAATTAAATCAGCTGTAACGATTTGACAACCGTACACGCCGTACACGCAGTGCTTAATTTTGTGCAACAAAATGTATTGACAGAAGTGAATCGCTCCAAAACCGACTTCACTTAGTCTTGTCTGCCCTATTAAGCAATTTAAGCCCACGTAGGCGCGGAGGGACGAGGCGGCCCGCGAGTTGAGGAGCAGGTGCGAAAATCTTTTGCGACGATAAACTCGAGTGGTACCGTGGGAGCCTCGCAGCGCCGGAGCCGTGACAGAAACAATACATGTTGTATGCTTGAATGCCTGCTTGCATGCCTGGTTGCATGCCTGCTTGCATGCTTGCTTGCATGCTTGCTTGTATGCTTGCTTGCATGCTTCATGTCTGCCTGGTTGCTGCATTTCTTCTTGCATGATTAACGCCTGCTTGAATGCTGCATACATGTTTCAACTGAACCATATCACTTATCAAGTTATTGAAGATTTTAATAAAAATACTTATAATAATAAGAATTTTAAGATTATTACCTGTAAAAGTGTCCAGTAGTTTATAGAAATAAACAGGTATTTCATCTGGAGGCAGAAAGCTAAGTGCCAATTTTCTGGAAACTAAATCGTCTAAAATTTGTATATTTATCAAAGGTTGAGTAAGATTTAAAAACGTATTGATTTAAAAAATATGTATATTTGAAAATCGGATTATCAGCTATATGTCAATTGTTTTTTCGGTGAAATGAAAATATGGAAAACAATAATGTGGCAAAACGTTTTCGGTTTAATGAAATTCGCACTGAAAAAATTCGATATTAAAATAGGTAACCCATAAGGTTTTATCTAAGTCTTATTATAAAATGACGACTAACTTTAGCGCCAGGTTCAAAACATTATCTAAATAAAGTCAACACGTCTTAGTATGACGTTTTCTCTTCTTGCATTGTTAATTTTCTTTACATGGTGAATGGTTTCACTTTAGTCGTATTTGTATGATATATAGATTTGAATAATTATACGAATTACTATGTTACATGTGAATAATACAAACGCACGATTAAATTTCAAAAGCAGGTTAATGTATGTACATCAACTATGTAGTTTGTCTCTGTCAAAAGCTTTTGTCGAGATAAGGATATACCCTGGAGCTATTTACTGAAGTGTGTAAAATGAAGCTATTTAATAGATCTGTATTATAATTAGGTATCTAATCTTAATGGGGTCGTTTAAATTCATGAAAATTGTATCAGATTTGAAGAAAAAATAAAAATTCTACTCAAAAACAAAGATAATAAAAAAAACCATTTGAAGTTGAGCGGTTAAAACTATGTTATTTAATTTACACCCAAATTCAATCAATTATCTAATGTTTTCCTATTTACTGATATAGCTTTGTTTGAAAAAAGAATATGTAGAAACTTAAAGTCACTTACCCTTTGACAATTTTAATAATGACCAAATTCATCTATCTATCTATATCTTTATGACGTATCCCCGACGAGGAGGTAAAGAGGAGTTCATTAATAGTACGTCAAAATCGGTTTACAATAAACGTCGATAGAAATATTATACGCAGATAAATTACAAAGTGATTCCTAACTACCAGGTCATCTACATACATTGTGAAACTTCTTAATGTGCCTCTAGGGGGCGCCCATTTTCCGTTGTGTAAATGTGTCCTACTTTAAGGGGAAATGTCACGGCTTCCCTTACATACTAAGTGAGAGCAAAGAGCCAAATGAGCAAAAAATGTTGACGAAAACATATAGAGGATAACGCGACTTGTGAAAAAAATCAGCGTTGAACTATAAATGATGATATATATGTATATATATTTAAAGCTATATATAGACTCCATAATATAATTAAATATATATGTATACTTTCCATTAACATGCGCTAAGGCTCGCGATCTTTGTTGTTAAGCAACTCTCGCAATTTTTTGGTGTGACTGATCCTCAGGATGTGTGACCAAAAAATTATTACCTCGAGCTACTCCGTGCTTCAGAGGGCATGTTAAACCGTTGGTCCCGGCTATTTGTATTCATGGCCCATCCTTCTTAACCATCCACAAGGAAAGCCTGAGCCTGTGCAGTGGGATGTAAAAGAGCAGATGATGATGAGTTTTATCATATTTAGCAGATACATACACTTATATATATTAATACAAACTTATGAATTATTAAGAAACTCTTTAATTCATATTTTTGATACTTTTGTTTACTTAATAATTAAAAAAATAATAACAAATAGCGGTACATCCAACCACCTACTCTCATCGCGTTTTCTGATATTCTATTTTAGTAATTCAAATACAAAGGACCCATTTTTGGCGGAAATCGTATGCTGTTCATTTTCCTCTGAAAATTCTTTGTATTCTGAGAAGCTAAAAATGTCTATTTCCTAAAAAGATGTATTTACATGTACCTCAGAAATATGAATTCACTTGTTCATTTAGATTTTTGTTCACTTACCTCTAATTAGTTTTTTTTTGTTATTATTGCTTATACTTTTATCATAGATCCTAGGAAGTGATTGCTTCAAACATACCTATCGGATAATATTAATCATATTGAAAGGGCCTACGAACAGATATTCGCTGCATATAAAAATATTACCCTCTGAAACAATTTGTTAGATAATTTTTAATAAGCACAATTCAAACCGTTAAATTTTAGATATAATATCTGAACCCAACATTGTGCAGCGCGAATATGATCACAGGTCAAAATTGAAGTTATAAATAACTAGCCGTTTTCCCGCGACTTTGCCCGCGTACATTACAGCCTAATGTCATCCACTTATGATGAAGTTACCCGTAGATAAAAAAAAAAATTCATGATCAGATTAGTGCGTTGAATATACTCCTAATCTACTGCAAAAAACTACGTCTTACGACAGTCTTTTTATAAATAGATTAAAAAGATTAGCTGATGTAATCAAATCAGCTAATCTTTTTATAATGATAAATGGAGATATACAGATAAGAATTGCGTAATGCAATCAATAAGTAGTAATAGTCATAGGTAGTCTTTTCTCACTAAAGACTGGGCTGGGCATAAAACAAAAGACTTGGGAATTGTGCGTCAAAAACTATTTTTAATAAATCATTCGCAAATCATTTATAAAAAATAGTTTTAATTGAAAAAGTTCTCCGTAATCCTATTATTATCATTATTACTATTATTACTATTATTATTATTATTACATTTATTATTCTTTCTTATAATAAGAGAGTATAATTACAAGAAATTCTAAAGACAATTTATAAAATTTATAAAAATTCGTGATTACCGTTTTTTTCTCATGTTATCATGTAGTTTTCTGATTTTTAATTTATATATTAAGATGTTTGAACTTTATTTCTTTCTGCAAAACTAATTATAATTTAGTAACATTTATCTAACTAAACAAATAAAGGACGCCACATAATTGTATAATAAAACTGACTTATGAAATGAATTTTAATGAAGGATACTTATTGAATATCATTATATACGAGTAACATTTAGATATGATTCATATTTAATTTAGATAATTGATTATTTGTTACTTTTCTTTGTCTTTCTTCTTTTTGATTTTTTTCTATATGCAATATTGTTACTTATTAAGCTTTTCGTGTAAGTTCGTACTAGTTTCTTAAGTCCTCTTCTTGTTCCTTCCTCCATGGTTGTCCTTCTTATTTTTATTTGTTGAATTGCTGTTTAAATTTTTTTCAATGGTATCGTTAATCCAGGGCAGGAGAGCACTTGTCTTCGTATATACTCCAGGTACATTTCCACAGCCAGCACCAAAAGAAGCCAAACCTACTTGTTTGTTTTTATACGTTAATGGTCCACCGCTATCACCCTAGAAAAGAAGGTTTGAATTAGTATAATTTATCTTTTTTTTCTAATCTAAGTAAATAAAAAACAGCATCTGTAGCATGATAACCTCTAGAAACGTTTTGAGTACATCCCAATGTCACTCTACAAGCGTATTATCATAAAAGACTGAAAACTGCTGAAAAAAAAATTAAAAACAAAGGCCTAAAAATTACCACCTTGACGATCGGTAGCGCACAGTCCTCGTCCAATGAAGAACCGGTTCTTCTAAAGTATACCCATATAAAATGTCAGTCTCAACTAGTTTCTCAAGTCTTTATATTTCCTCTTCCTACGTGTGCTGCTTTACTTCAATTACGGTTTTTTAGTAATGTTTACAGAGAATTTATAAATATGACTAATAGCGTTGTTGGGATTTAAAAATTATCACAAGTTTGATAGCCAATACTCAATCGTAATAATGTAATTTCAATACACTACTATATTTTTATACGATATTTGCATGGAAATCTCATGCGCGAGTCCAATTCCCATTTGTTCAGAAAGAAATAATATTACTTAAGTTAATGTAAATTTTAAAATATACCTGGCATGAATCCTTTCCATTTCCTCCTGCGCAGATCATTCTTGGAGTCAGTTGTCTCCGTAGACCAAAATATATTCGTTGGCATACTGGTCTTGATACTACAGGGATATCCACTTGGAGCAGATGCTTTGCGACATGACCAGTAGGCTGTAATACAATACTCTAAAGTTTATTAACAACTTCTATGACGATTTCACGCTATATCTATAAACCAAGAACCCTCACTGTACTACCAAAAAAGAAACTGGTAGGAGAAATATAAGAGTGTGATAATACCTTAATAATAAAGGTGTTTTAGACAAAGCACTAATTTCTTGTAGTTACTATTGCCTGCAAAAATCAACTATTACGATTTGTTGCCTGCATAGGTCTAAAATCTGCATAGCTATATTCCCACATATGCCAATGTCATCCAAAATTTAATTAACGTCTCTGACTGCGGCATTGAGTTATTTTTATTTCGTTAGCGGTTTGAAATCTAGTACTAATGAAGCTTAAACACTCACTCACTCGTCGTGAAATCTCAGAAACTACAAGTGCTAGGAGTTTCAAAATTTTGTCTGGGGGCTCCTTGTAGGACGTGGGTGCTCACTAAGACGGGATTTTACGAAATTCGACCCCTAAGTAAATCAGGGGATAAAAGTTTTTATGGAATTTTCTCATTTCTGGACTTAAAACTAGATCACGCCAACAAAGCTGCCGGCGGAAGGCTAGTACAAGTATATGTGTTTTATTATCAACTGCATTTGCATCGCATTTAAAAAAGCTCATAATAAAATCTCTAATATTACTGTACATACCGTCGTGTTTCCCCACCCCGTGATAGCAAGTATATTTTTCTTTCTCAATTTAAGAGTTTCATCGGCCAATTCTATTTTGGCTACTGTTGGCCCAAACACTATGGGTTTAGTTAATTTTATTAAGCAAATGTCGTTATCTTGAGTCTTTGATGAGTATTGTTCATGGGGTATGATTTTCTCAATGTCATACACCTGTCCGCCGTTGTCAATCTGATCTGTTCCAACTGCAACTTTGAATTCCCGGTTCCTGCGGAAAACACTGATTAAAATTAGGGTAAACCTAATAATATTGCTGAGGCACAAACTTTGCATAGTGTTATCACTATGTTACCGACCAAAATTAAAAATCATAGCGTATTAATTCTGTTTATAATAAGTCGCTTTATGAAGATGACCATCAGAGTTTAGAATTATATTGAATACACTTAATTGTATAAACTTTTAAACTTTCGCATTGCATTATATTTGATTGGATGAAACGGGTATTAACGGCCGGTGGTGTAAGCCAATCTAAACGTCGGAAAATATTATAGTTAGGTGTAAAAGTTATTAATCTATCGCGTTAATACCCGTTTCATATAATCTTATACACTCAATTATATTATGAGAAATGAAGATGTGTACTAAATTACAGATAAATCAGAACAATTCTAAGACTGAATTAAATTTTTAAATGGTAAGTACTTTCGTATGACACATAAGACCGTAAACTCAAAGTAAAAAAGGTGATATTTTTTTCTCTGTCTCTCTTTTAATATTTATGAAAATTTAATATTAATATTTAAATATGTCCGAATTACTTCTACGCACCATGCCATGTTCCTGTTTTCTCCTGAAAATTAAATATGTATACTCTACAAACGAAATAGGTAGCAATGGTGAGAAAATGGGCTCTTTTAAAAACATTTTCAAATTCAATTTCGCCTGGAAGTAGCGACTCAACATTTCAACTTTGACGCGCCGGAACTAAATATGCGTCAGAAGCTAAGTTAAAAGCGAACAATTTACTGCCTTTATTATGAAAAAAAATGGCGCAGACTAAGATCGCTTTTATTAGCGTTTACTTCGTCTACTGAAAACCACAAAAATTCTAATTACATATCAGATTTGGATGACTAAATGACATCGAATAATCCCAAAATTAAGTAGCTTAATATTATGGAAATCTTAGACCAAGTAAGAACACAGCATCCAGACTCAAGGCAAATTATAAAATTCATGTTCTACATTAACCCGACCGAAAATCAAAACGGGAATCCGGGACACGTGGTCACCCCTCGCTGTCTCGTTAGGCGGCATGATAGTGTGTAACATTTTTCTCTAGGTCAAGAAAAACGGTCGAATTGAGAAAGCTTCTTCTTTTTTTGAAGTCGTTAAAAAGATCCGATAAATTTGCCACGGACTTCGAACGGTATAGTTACGCCACTGAAATGCAGATACAATTTAAGGGCCGTCCATTAATCACGTGATGTTTTTCAGTATTTTTAACCCTTTCCCCGTCCCCTTTAGCGATACATGGTGAGGTTTAATACTAATCCCTCCCCCCTCCACCCAAATCACGTGTATTTTTTAGTACCTACATAGAATCTTAATTTTAACGCCGCCTTTCGGTTTAGTAATCGCGCGGTTGGGGAAAAGATACACGTGATATATTACTACACCTCTCTCGCCCCTTGTGATATTTCGTGATTTTTTACGAACCCCCTCCCCCCTCACGTGATTAATGGACGGCCCCTTACTGGACCAACCGTTCCCCTTGTCTATCAAAAAACTTGAATTAAAAAATGTGTCAAAAACATATTGTAATATGATCACCTCAACATTTCCATTGAAAACTATATTTTAAAATGTTATTTGTGAAGTACAACAACACTATTCTTATTTCATTGTGTTTTGTTACATTTTATTCACAGTATTTTTCAAGATAACATTTCCAAACAAAACTGCGAATAGCATATTTGTACGACGATTCTCTATACGAATCTCAGTGAAACGAGTTTTTCGCTCCACTGTTTAGCATTGAAACTTTAACGTAGAACTTTGGAAAACAGCTCTCACCATATGTTTTGTTATTATTTTTGTTTATCATTTTATAGTTTAGGTTTCTGTGTTTTGGAATTTGCTACATATATGTAAAACGAAAAAGTATTGGAAACATGCATAAACCTCAATTTTGAAGGTTTTAATATCTTCACGTCGTATAACATTGCAGAGTAGGCATAAGGTTTTTTAAATTTTCATAATAATTAATATTGATTTTATTTAAGAAATTTTGTGATAGTTGAGCGTTGGAAACGACTGTTTATGTTTTTGATAAAACACACATAAGGTCTTCAATTACAGATTTCAGAAAAACCTTTTAAAAGTCAGAGTTTTTTTTTATAATAATTAAACTATGATCCAATCTCTGAACGCAAACAAGAATGATATTTAGCTTTGTTTTTTATTAACGTACAGAAAATGTATCTCATGCCTCAAATTAGGGCTCTCTAATCACAAGGATCTGTCCCAAGGAATGGTTGGTCTACCTGATAAAAGCAGCTGAGGCTGCAGTGCGGAGTATCTTCGAGTGGGGGGAGGGAACTGGAATCTGGCATGAAGGGCGCTCGACCTAACCATATTTAGCCCACCTGGTAGCTTTATAGGTACTAGTTTCCATTCTTTAATGTATACGCGTCCTTGAATGTCGATGATGATGAATACTCACGCTATAATACAATGTGCGGCGGTTAAAATGAATCTCTCGTGTATAATAGAACCTCCGCACCAGTGGTAAGTACCGTTCAAACGTAGCGAGATCATAAACGGAACTTGTTCTATGGTGATAGTGTGCCCACCGATGATACCGACATTCGCTGATTTAACATCTGTGAAAAGAGAATTTATTATATACTTCATTCAAACTCTTACACGAAAATGAGTGGGTATTATTATTTATCGATTGTATTACGGACATCACTATCTGTCAGTGAGTTGTCACTGTCACTGACATTGATATTACATGAGATTTGCGGGTTTCCTCATACTAAAATGTTATTATATGTTAAGTGTTGTGTTCTGCATGCGATGAGCTGTGTCGTATTTTGCTCCAGGCTCGTACTGACATAATAAGTGTTAATAAATATTTAATTACTTATTAAAATTTTCCAAAATTATTATATGTGAATCCCTATTGTATATTGGCTATCTGCGTGAAATTGGCAAAATTGTGCGAAAGCGCAGCTGAGCCATTAAGAAAGAGAGAAAGAAAGGAAAAATTAGCGCTATAATAGCGTTGTGAAACTATTCGAATCAAATTATAAATTAAAATAAATTTATTGAAAAAAAGTCTTTATCAAAAACATATTAATAATGAAAAATGATTTTAAAATCCACTCTGTCCCTTCGTCTTTATTGAAAGTTTATATATTTGTAAAAATATTTCTTACGGCTGTTTCTGTGGATTCTGTAGTAGCGAAAAAGTAAAAAGTGCTTGAAATATTCATCAGTCTGTATTAGGTGCTTGGTAGCTCAATGATTAGAGCAGTCACCCGAATTGCGAAAGGTCTTGGTTTAGGGTCCCATCTCACATGCCAGGGACAATGTGGATTGTTTAAACATTTTTCATTAAGGATATTAATCTATAGATGACAAAATCCAAAAATAAAATCAATGGTAACATATCAGTGGAATTAAATCATTGTCAATTGTCAAACCTTCAAACATTATAATTCTGATTCATTGGTGGTAGATATGTGTCCTTGAAAACTTTTTGTAATAAATACTTTAAACGCTAGAATAATAAGCCGATAATGATCACAAAAACTTACTTTCACTTGCCGAAGCTGTAGATAAAAAAGCGAAAAACAACAATTCAACAAAAGCCATGGTGACTATCTGAATAAATTTACCACTGAATAGTACATTTTATATTTAGATAACCACGAAAAACTTATCAAAATATTATTATTTTATCTAGAATAGCAGTTTTTTTTAATAATGAGATCATTAGTTATTAATGAATGATAATGAAAAGAGATTTAATTAATGGCAACATGTGACTATTAGAAGTAATTATTAGGGGTTGTTTAAAGGTTACAACAAATTTCTTTTCGATATTCATCATCAGTCTAACCCTACATTTGTAAGCAAAGAGCGAACGGGAAGTGGCCTTCGTTACCGTACATCGCCCACGTAGTGAGGGATATCGCTGAGTATTAGTGGGTAAAAACATGCTTCTTTAATAGCCCCCTCGGGGGTGGATCCGCAGAGAGAGTCCCACATAACCCGCTGACCTCGCAATAGAAGCGGGTATTCGTAACGCATTTTTCAGCGTAAAAAAGTCTTCTATACAAAAGGAATCGAATTGATTAAGGAGGAAGAATATACCGTAACCCATTACGCGGGCAAAGTGCGGTTTGACCGGTAAGAACTGCAGATGCAGCCGTAATCAACAGCTTAACGTGTCAAGCAGGAGATAGTAAATTTTTGGTCACCAATCCAATGCCTTTGTGGAAGTTGCTTAACTTTTATACCTTCGAGCGACTACACTAAACAACGTGACACGGAGCTCCTTATTACTACTTTTATTATTTAAGTCTGATATGTTAGATAAATATATACTATACGAATTGCTTTTTATCTTTTTATATTTTGCTCTGAGTGAAGCATAACTATCCGGTGATAATTGAAAATCGACTTATTAGTTATCCGGAAATTTATTCCCATAACATCTGTATATTATCGGAAAAAGGTTGAAAAAGGTATACAGAGTGTCAATCTCTTGTCGGATGTGAAATTAATTTTCCCTTTGACAGTCATGTTTGGGTAAATAGAAGGTCCTTTCTTCGTTGCTAAGGTCTCCTATTTTGTGGTAATAGAGAGCGGAGACTTTGGTAATGATACGAAAAGATAATATAACGCTTCTATGAAAATATTAATTTGTTAGAATTATCTAACAAAAACATACGAGATTTAATAAAAAAAATAATAATACGACTGAATAAAGTGGCGACGTATAAAAAGTTACGAATTTCAAGAAAACCTTACCCTTATATACGACTTGTGCATTTCTTATACTTTTACATCGTTAATTCTCTATTCAAGTCATTGTAATATAACTGTTCGTATGAAAAAGATAAACACATTGCTTAACATAATCATGATTTAAATTTAAGTCACTTTTTGAAATAATATATGTATTGACACAATATTCTATAGTTGCATCGCTACCGCTCAAGCTCCGCTCATTACACACATTCACTTTCAACCTTAATGACAAGACCCAAAGCTGATATTTTCCTAGTCATTGCTCGTAGATCGCTGTTCATCATTTAAACTAATACCACTAAAGGTTTATGTCAGCTCATTAACGTAGGCAACTATTTTGAGTATTAATTTATTTTTTTGCATACAAAAAAAAAATAAACAAAAATCTGTAATTAAGAAAAAGCTTTGTGGCTTTGAAGCTGGATATAGGATGCACGCACCATGGTGTGTTGTATGGTTGTTATGATCAGATCACACACACTAACGAATCCGCTGACATATATATAACATAGTTGCATACGGCCCCATTGTTGGAGACCGTAATATTGCCAAAACTGCTGATGCAGCGGCACGTGTAGCGACAACGGGCAATCCGAGTCATTGAAAGCAGTTTTTGATCAATCATCGATCGGGTTACATAGTTGGGCTAGTAATTAAGAAATATATATTATTTTATTTTATTAAATTAGTTGTTTTATTTTAATCTTCGTCTGCAGCTTCTATAATAAGGTTGTTGGTACGATTGCGTTATAAATAAAACGGCATCAAATTATCAATTAAAAAGCTTATTGGATTCTAATAATGTTTTTAAACTCACACGATTCACGACATTCTAATTATATGTAACCGGGTCTTATGTTTGTTTATTATGTATCAGTTTTATGTAACTGTTCTTCCAGTAATGCCATTTTTAGTTGACAAGAATAAAATGAGCTCAAAAGTTTCAATGAAATAAAACGTATCTACTTAAAAGGCTAACGAATATATAATTAAGTTATTATTTAACAAATTTTAATAACCTCTGATGTTGAACAGCGCTGTTTTAATATTGGAATAGTAAAGCAGCTTTGATAATTTAATATTGAAGTTTTGCAGAAACAATGATTAAATAAGGTTTAATTTAACGTCCTGTGTATGCTCTGGTACTCACGTAATTAAATTGATAATGAAATAAGTATCAGCCAACCTTTTTAATATGCTTTCTTTTTGTATTTATCTTTTTTAAGATAAAAAATAATTATTTATAAGAAATTTTATTTTTAGGTTATTATCGAAATCAATTTATGATTTCCATGAATTTTGGATTTTAGAAAGAACTGATACAAACAACAATTTCACTTATAACAACAAGAAAAATATAACTTACTTTTTATTTTGGGTGCAACTAAAAACAAACTTGGAAAAACGAGAACATCATCAAGGTAAATCTTGTAATGGACAAATAATTTATATACCTGCAATATTGCGACGCAAACCCGATTCAAACTTGGTCTGTTGTGAAAAATTAAGAATTTTTAAATAAAGGATAAAAAAAAAATCGAAAAAATCATTATAAGACCCCACACATACATATACATATATTAGCACTTGAATTATAAAAATCTCAACTACGAAGGTATAAAAAAATTAAAATATATATTCTTTTAAAACTTTTTCAGTCTGATAATTTTGTCCTTGAAAAATGTGTAGCCGTCTTCCATTGCTATCAGCACTTGAAACTCCTGTGGGACTTCGACACAATGCCAACAGAGCGCAGGGAAATTAGGAACGAAAGAGTGGAAAATGAGAATTTATGCGATTTTGATGGTTCCTTTTAAATATGCGCAGAGGGTATACTTATGCGACATAATTCAGTGGGAATTGATGAATTGGTTTTCCTAAATGAAATGTTACTTTAAAAAAGATTAGCAAAAATCTATAGAGTATGAATACAGCCGTTTTAGAATACATAGGATTATGAAAATGCTATTTATCACGAAATAAGTAATTGAGACGCCGAGGACACATCTTTCGCTACCAAATTGATAGCGTGTCATCAAAAAGTGATGTCAGAAACTACAAAAACCGTTGGATATGTAAAAAGAGAATTGAAAATATAGGAAAGTGAAAGACAAGTGTTAAGAATTTGGCTTGTGGAGTTCAGTTCTCTACGAACCGTTTTATAACCGTAACCGTATAATTATTTCGTATAAGCAGATATGTCGACATTCTTTCGAGTACTCTTACTTTTGATACCTTCACTAAGTCACCATCAATTCACATCTGTTCTCGACACACAAAACTTACGTATCTGACCGCGAGATGACACTTTTTGATTTTTCTTCTGGTTTTGATACCTTAATACAATTATTTCTGTATGAATTAGTAATGTCATAATATTTTCTCCTTAAAAAATTTGCTCACGCTATCTCCACCCGAGTTTTCTCACATTAATCTACGCGTTAATCCAGTTGAGTGACATGGACATCTATATATCAATTTCTATCTCTATAGCGTTCTGCTGCCTTCATCCCTCGAGATTTACGGGTCATAACACAAATCGTACTCCAGTTTTATCATTATATATCATTCAGGAAAATCAATTTATTTGATAAGTTATCTCGTTAGATAAGTCTATCATTTTGATGATTTTCGGAATAGCAGGTTAACTTTTAAAACAGTTGAAAAATTTGTTAATAAAATTTATATGACTCATTTTCAAACAAATTAACGACCTCCACCATTGGATGGCTCGTATGCAGGTTTCAAGGTATCCCGAGTTCGGTGGAGAAAATTAACTTTTCTTTATTGCCTTGAGTCTGGGTGTTGTGTTTGCTGTTTCAGGTTTCCATAATACAAATGCTTTACTTTGACTTGGACTTAACTCGATGCTACTCAATATGGGATGTGAGTAATGTAATGAAATTGAAATTAATATTATTTTTTTAATATAAACTCTAAACAATAACCTTTTTGCTTGTTCAGTTAGGATACCCATGAATAACTACGAATATTATATCGTATACCCCTTAAGCTTGGTTGTTTTACATATGTACAATTTTATACATTCTTCAATTTTATTTCAATACTAAGTTTTATACTATGCCTTTAGATATATCAGTGTACTAAATGAGCTTCTCTGAACAAGATTGATGCTATCCTTTTACGTAGAATTCGCATAGAATGTATAGATATACGGAAAACGGTCTACCCTTCGACATAGATACATACACCCAGGGAGTCGTAATTAGAGAGTTCATCGATTAATCGGGAACACAGTAACACATTTCTCTAAGACAGAACCATCTTCAATAGTAGTCTGCGACATTATTTATTTCGTATTCGAGAAAAGGAATATGATAGAGCAGGAATACAATAGAGTACATGTTATCTATACAGTACAAAAATGACGACTAAGGTAAAAGAGATTAGAATAGAAAATTCTTTATTGTGAAGATTATATCGTTCAGACTGACAAATATATAAAATTATGTTACAATTGACAGCGTTATCGTTTAAAGCGATTTTCTTAAGCAATCATGGCTAAATAAATTTAATAGAATTCTGCAGTCTAAAATTGAATATGCAGTAGGATATGAACAAAATACGAGTGGCTTCCACTACAATATTCTAGTCTCGTATTTTGAAGACGTAATGCTGTTATAAAGTAAAAATCCAAAACCGAAATATTTAAAATTCCAATTTGTAACATTTAATATTTGTGTAATACATGTTTGATACCAAATTGGATTTCAGAGAAATACAAATTACAATTGGACGACTACTAGTTCCAATAAATACCCTAGTAGGTACATAAACTATATAAACAGGAAAAACAATCCGATTGCTTTCAATATTTACCAACTTAACTTTTCGACTATTAAATAAAATGTTTCATTCATCGGTATACGCCATAGTCGATATTCCAAGGGCAAAATGAAGTTTGTAATTGTTAAAATATCTTTTCGTTTGATATTGGTCAAACTAATGAATTTGGGATTACTTTTTCTTTTTGTGCTGTGTCTGTAAGATGTTGTTTCCTATTTCATGACGTGCTATTTGATTTTTTAATTAAAAGGTTTAATTAATTATGTAACCCATACTCATCCAACTCAAAGATCTCCACACTGATCGGCCCTGCGCTGTCCACTTGAAGCCTTTAAAAGATCATCGTTTCACCTAGAAGGGCTTACTGAACATCGTCTGGTGCCATTGCCATCGGTTCTTCTGACTATTTTATTTATATTTCATATTCATTTATATTTTCTAATTCGATCAAGTAGACAACTATCATATTTTATGATTTTTCAAGATCACAGGTAGCTTATTGGGGATGTAGACAACTTTTTTATATTTTTATTTTATGGATATAAAAAAGTATGATTCATGTAATAAATTAAAAGTAGTAATCACCATGATAGCGAAAGATTACGTGTTTGAATCATGGGTACCTGAGATTATGTTTTTTTTTTTTTAAGTTTTCCTCTAATAGCATTATAAATCGAAAGAAAATAATGAAAGAAAGAAATCGTTTTACTCACCTTCATAAGCGCGTACATACAATAAAATAACAGGAAAAAAATAAAAGTATGTTGTATGTACGTTATCAATAAAAAATATCAAATAAATAAATCATTAGACATACATTACGAAATAGGTATTTATCTTCAAAAATAAGTAACTAAAATCCGCATTATGGAGCAATATCTGAAGCAACGAAGATATCATAACTCCCAAAAAGTTTTTTTTTTTTAAGTTGACTCAGAATCGAACTCCAAGACGTCTAAGCATTCGGTAATATATAAATTAACCGAGCTACTTACAAACTACAATAGAAATAAGGAATTTAACAAAATAGTTTAGTTGAACTGACTGCTGAGTTCACCGTTTAAAGGATTTGTAAAATAGTAATCGGACCGCAACAAACGGTTTAATTCGCTTACTCCGTAGTATTGTATTAAGTTTGTGGATTATCCAATTAAGGTGGCGTCAGCCACATTTGAAACAAACTGGTGACGTGAAATCCACAAATTTAATGATGAAAAAGATAACATTTGGATACATACCTTATTTTTCATCTATTTGACTCTTTGGCTCAAATTTGCTGATTCTCAATACGTGTATACTTCAATATCACAAATCAATGTCGCATCACTAACTTATTTGAAATAGACTTATTTTGCAATACGCCTTTCTACCGTCAAATTATGACGCTGAAAAAATTAATCTCAGGCAAAATTCGTGTTACGTCTTCTTTCAACCGGTGCAGAAGCTTTGCTTATTCGTTTTCTCGGTTGCCTTTGTGAATTTTATCAAGAATTTATTTCTTATATTCGCGAAATTATAATCCTATGTATTATCACAATTTCTGTCAATCTGTTTAAAAGCGTACTTTTTAAGATAAACGATACCTGTTACCCGCAAACTTCGCCAGCGTAAATCATAGCCTACGTTACTCACGTAGGATGTAGCTTCCCGTAGTTGTTTTTTTTTAAATTAATTTAGTAGTTTTAGTCTTTTCGATGCAAAGAAATAAACTATCAAACCCTTATTCTTTGCAATATTATAGTGGATATATACTCGTACATTTGCCATCATCATAAATGTTATTTTTCTCCGTGAATTGTAGATTGTATTTTATTCCTTTTTTGATCAATATTTTTTTGGGAATTCGGATTAGCAGTTTTGTTTTTTGTATTATAGTAACTGAAAGAATTCTTCTAATTTTTTTCATTATTTATCAATGAATTAATATACATATTAAATATTTCTTTTTAACTATCATCAAAATTATAATAACGTTTTTTTAGTCAATACCAAAAAAATATATACTTATCATATAAGCTGTTTTAATATATCAAGAAACTATTGAAATCGTATGGTAAATATTAATATTTTCTTAAACATATGAGTCAACCTTATTTTTATATTTTTAAGTTGGTTTTATTTTTCTATTATTTTTTATAAACGGCTGTTGGAATGCCTACATTTATTGTCTGTTTTCAGTTTATCCTACATTAATTGATCAATTGTATTACTACAGATAACAAATGGTCAACATACCTTCGAACTCTGAGCTTATATTTTATCTGAGTACTCAATCTCAAATGTAGATCCCGATCTCCACGATACGTCGCAGATTACGAGCTCAACGGGAACGCCTTCGGGAACTTACGGCAGTTCATCCCAACCACGGACAGGGAGCGCACTCGCCGCCCGCTTCGAATTTTTACCGCGAAATTTACGCGAACTCGAAATAGGTAGAACTAAACTGCCCGCATATCTTTCTGGCCTTCGGAAATGTCATAAATGGAATGAGTATTTATTTTTTAAATAGTCTAATAACCTCAATGGACATAAAACTCTTTTGTGGTCATAAATTGTGTAGTGAAATAGTGCAAACATTAACGTGTTTACGAAGTTTGTTTCAATATTAATTAAAACATTCTCGAATAATGATTTTTATAGAGAAATCATTAGATCGTTTTGCATTTGTGGATCTGAAATGAATAGATTCGACAATATATCAAAACACGATAAAGAAGAAGAGAATAATGCAAGAGGAAATTGTACGAAACAAAACAAAATATTGGGTAAGTTACATCTATATTACACATACGCTAATTTTTTCTCGCGACTTTGCCCACTTAAAAAGTTTTACCTCTTTTTAATATTAACATAGATTATTACAGTGAGATGCAAGATTTAGTAAAACAATATGAATGTATAAAGTTACTTAACATCATTGAAAATAAAAATATGGTATAATTTCATACATATTAAAACAGAATTGGAGATTTTTTTTATTTCAAACCCGAATGATTATTATCATTATATAGGTAGGTACATAAAAATATATTTATTTCTTTCCATATTTCTTATTAATAAAAGATAAACAATCATAATTTTTATTTTTCATTTACAAAGCTGTATTGATGTTTTTCTTTAAGATAAAAACTAACTTTTAGTTTGCATAATATAAGTACGGGGTTATAATTTACCACGACTGGTAGCTTATAGTTGTTTAATAAAATTAAAATACTATTAGAAAATAATAATAGTATTTTATTAATTAAATATTATTGTACTGAACTTAAGAATAAGTTGAAAATAGCACCGTAACATTTTTTTCTGAAGATTTATCAAAAAATAATTATTGATTTAGCTCTTAATTATTAGTATAAATAATATGCTTATTCAGAAATACACACGCCCGTTGGGACACTAATGCCCGTTTTTGCTTACCTATAATAAAGCTAAGCTTAACTAGAAATCACTTAATATTAAGAATAGCTTAAGCATATTTTTCGTTTCACCAAATTTGTAACTTAAGGTAATGCCTTAGTAAGCACTTGCTTAAGTGGGCACCGTTTGTCTATGATTTTGCATGCTTCAATTCGTCTTCTATGTTTTAAAGTGCGACCTATTTGCGTTTCGCCAATTCCACCGTAGTGGTTTTAATACGTCAAGAGTTTGAGGTAATAAATCAACAAAAATAATACGTCGTCTTTTATCTACACGAGCACCTAAGTCGTAAATGTACATATACCTCCGAAAATTCAAACAATCTCATTGTTTATATCTCAATTGTAATATATAAAAACTTCTTGATTCCAACTTACTAAATTAATTTTATCCCTTGACATGTCTATTAGAACCGAAGAGTAAATGTAAATATATGTCATATTACGCAAATGTCCAGCGTTAGACGCCGCACAATGCATGTCCTAACTTTAAGCGTTGCCCAAAGTAGTCGTAACGTGTCTCCTTGTCATCGGTGAAACGCATTTTCACATATAGGTGTCCAATTTTGGCGACTCCTAAGTTTAGTGAAAATGGGCATTAGACTTTTACCTATTAGTAAAATGATTTGCGAGTAACTAATAGAAAATAGTTTGATGCTCTATATATATCGTACAGCGTTACAACGTTTCTATCTCTGTCTGTAACATTCATTGCGCCGTTAATTCGACACGTATTCTCTTTCACTGTTATTGATAAACAAGGTTTAGCATTTGGGTAAATTTACACAGAGATTGCACTAAGTATTGGTCAAAAATCATATTATTAAACAGAGACTTGGCAAAGGTTAACTTTTTTTTTTATACCGAGGGGAACTGACCTTAACATGCCATTAACCTGGGCTAGAGGCCGACTGAACCCGGGTTCTCCCACTGCAAGGGACGGTGGTCCAGTGCAGTGGGCCTACCGTGCAAAACCCCCCGTACTACCCTCTCGCGTGGTCCGGCACCTGGTATCTTATAATTAAGTCCCAGGTGGTGGCAAAGGTTAACCTAGCACTAGGTTCTATGGGAGCAATATTTACTCCTAAAAGGTCGTAAGTGGGTTTGCTTATTCTCTGTATAATATGAATTTGGACCACTACTAAAATTGCATTTAAAAATAAATTTACTCTGACGTTAAACCCTGTTTATTAATAACACTGCTTGTCTTTAAGAGCACGACATTCCTGCCTCTTTTCTCCAGCAAACACGCAAAAAGTGGAATATATTGGCTTTCGGTATTTATACGTTTCTACCCTACAGAATATTTTCACACGGAAACCTTTCTATAGCCCAGGATACAGTCAAAGCGAACGCAACCTTTATTATGTGAATACTATAGTGGGTAACCGCAGTACCGTCTGCCTTCCCGGTGAGTTCTCAGCATTTTTGCGTGCCAAAACGGTCGTATCGCATTTTCCACATAACAAATCCACCCAGGTTTTGCGGAGGCGCAAATTACAAAATTTTTCCTACATCTTGAACATGTAACGAGAATTTTGTGCATTTTGTATCATTTGTGGTGCTGGCACAAGTCATACCGGTGTTATGAAGACATATCGGTTTATTACAGCATAATAATAAAGCGATGGCACAAATTCCTGATATAATTTTTATGTTTTTTTTTTTAATCTAAAATGATTACTAAATTAATTTTGCACCCTTGCTATTTTATCTATCTATTATATATAAAGCTTAATTTTCGTATATACAAATGTAATTGTCCTGTTTTCTTTCTAATAAATTATCCTAAGATTATAATAAAAGAAGTTATTTTCACCTTGCAAAGTTTTGGATCTTGATCACTGAACCACCATGGTATTGAGGATAACCATAAGAATGTAACACTGTGTTCATGGACTACCTTCAGAATCAACCTTATAATGAAATGCCTCTTCTCCCAAAAATAAAACCTCCGTTCTATCCTTAAGTTACTTTGCTAATATAGCGAATTAAGTGCCGACCGCTAGGCGTTAATAGATCTTAAGGCAATCCTCATTATTTTTTTCCTTTTATCAGACCCAGCCAGGGATACGAAACTAAAAGAGAATAGTGTAATACTAATCTACTAGTATAAATAAAAGTATGAAGTAAAAACGTTGCTGTTTTTTTTTTCGTTATTGACTCTTCTATAATTTAGCCAGCATCGTGTTTCAGGTTTCTATACTGTATCTATTATTTATTCGGTTTGACTCCGTGTCTTATCCACTATTGTACTCTGCTCGTAATGTAACAGGTTCATGACAAATTTGACAATATCTGTCATTCTGACTTTAACATATGCATTATACCATCCTCTTTTTGGCATTCTAAACGGTAACTTTAACCAGCGAAACTTAAGCGATTTAAGTTTACAGTTAAAGTTATAACGTCATGCAACCATTGCCAGATGATAACTCATTATTATTTGCTTAACCGTTACTTTAATGTTTGTCATTGTTACAGTAAGTCGTTATAACTAACTTATAAAATGCAAGTAGACTACTTTTTGTATTAAATGATAAATAAATACCCCAAAAAGTTAATAGAAAAACCTTGATCATGAGATTTTCACTGATTTACTTTAATAACTACATTTGTACGAAATATTAGCTAAATGTAAGCGTTTTATCAATGTTCCTTGTATACCTTTAATCTGAGAGCAATCCATTATACGATTTATACGTTACCCGATTGTATTCCCCAAGGAGGAAATGTTTTATTTCGGCTACTCTCAGGGGGTAATTATCACCTAATGCAGTTCAATGAAATGCTTCAGGGTTTTAGATTTTATATTTCGCGTTCCTTCATTTTTATGGTAACTTGAGCAGTTTGTAGGATTAAATTTATATACAGCTATTTATATAATATAGGATTGCTACATCTAGAGATAGGTGTAGCAATCCTATAATATAGAGATCGAAAGCGCATACGATTACGAAAGCCAAGCAACTTTATCAAAGTCATTGGATAGGTGATCAAAAAAGTCATATGTCAAAGTTATATTATAATATAATTTAGACGTAGAATTTAAATAGAAAAAGTTATATTTAAATTCTACGTAATTCTTAAGAAAAAATATTTTAAAGGATAGTACGAGGTTTAGATATTTGCCGTTAAGAAGAGAATCGATATCACTATATTTACTTCTCATCTTGAGAAATACTAACTATTTTCTATCAGTTATAAGGCGTCCACGCCTATTGTATGCCGTTCTTTATTGGTAAATTTGCTAATAATTATTTTTCAACATTGGTTGCCTAGAAGTCATTACTGCTTAACATTGAGGACGCCTTTTGTATATTTATTTTTTTCTTACTTCTCTGTAGTATATCCTGTGCAGTGTGCAATAAAGATTTATAATCAGCTCTTTTACGTCCCCAATGTAGGGGCTCAGGCCTTCTTATAGATGGTTAAGGAGGATGGGCCAGGGCCCACCACACTGTCCCAATGCAAATAAGTGCATATGCAGCCAGGACCAATGTCTTAATGTGCCTTGCGAAGCATGGAGTAGTTCAAGATAGTAATTTTTCGGTCACCCATCCCGTAACCGATCTTTGCAAAAGTTGTAAACAACAAGAATCGCAGGTGGCGGCGCTTATCCACTTATCCACGTCACCAAGCTACTCAAAGATTATTATTATTGAAATGTAGAACTGTGAATTTAAAGAAATAAAACGTGTTTATTGTTACAGAATTGGACCTGGACTATTTGGAGCGAGGTGGTGGTGGCACCTTGACAGTGGGCGGGGCTCCCAGCGTGGAGCCCAGCCCGGACAGTCTCGAACTCATCAAGGTTGTCCTTCTTGGGGCCCCAGCTGTGGGTAAAACCAGTATCATTCAGGTGATTCTCATATACTACTCCTCCAAATTATCATGAATTATCATGAACATAGAATAGGCCTTCTGCACGCGCCACATGACGAACTCGAGAACGTTTTGTCTACACCCAAATGTCACTTTTCTTCGATGCGTCTCGATATGTAATGTAAAAGTGACATTTAGTGTAGACATACCGTTTCTCGAGTTTATCATTTTACGCGTGCAGAAGGCCTATTCTATTTTTCGGAAAACTTAATTTCTTCTGTTTTCGTAATGTTAATACGATCTCACAGAAACTCATTTCTCTGTAATTTTTAAAGCAACGGAGGTCGGACCTGATTCTACATCTGATTCAAAGATAATATTCACGGATTTAAAGAACGTTTTAAATTTTCCGAATTTTCGTTCGAGGACAAATATAATGTTTTCTAAAATCTAATAATAATACATAAAAATGCATTATATAATCGAACGAAGAGCGGCTTGTCACTGTTACCGATCTCTTCCAGGCAACCACTTATCGAAATCAATTTAGTAAAGTAAAATCTAATTGCCGGTTTGAATAGTTTCTTTTAATGGTTTGTAAAAAGGAAAAGAAAATATTGATTATCAGTGACTTTTGAACATAATAACCTACTGAGTATCGGCTACACCTTGAGACCGGCATGAGAGACAAGAATTGATAGCGGATATATCTACCTTTGACATCCAACCGCTAAAACTTCAATTACCAGGTGATCATGGCGCTTACAACAACGTCGAAATATTGAGAACTGAACAAAAAACAGTATACGGTAGCAATGCCGCGGAAAATTATCATTTTAATTGGTAGAGTTTAAAAAATTTGCTCGTCGGCACGTAATTATGTGGTAGATAACTCTTAACTTAAATACTGTTATTAAACAATTTGGTTTTGGAAGCAAATTATATTCAAGCGTTTTTCTTGCTACTTCGTCGGTGTAAATTATGCCGTTATAGCTTGCCGTAAGAGAAAGATGTTTTTAAATAGATCCAGTGGTTTCGGAGGCTATCTGATTCAATCAAAATATCAAATCTTTCGTCTTCATAATATGACACTATACATAAAACTAGATTAAAGGAAGACTGATTAAAAATCTAAACATCTAAAGTGTCTCAACGTTTCCGGTATCCGATTCAATAATTGTATACGGTCGATGTTGTGATATTTTTTTTTTAATCAATGCTGTCAGTATGACGTTATTTATTAATAGGTAAACGAAATAATTATTTATTTTTGTGATCCTTTATGTAATGAAAAGTGGCTTTATAGTCTAAAGAAGTCACTTTTTGCTTGGACTTCTCTGTATGAAATAAAACAGGTTGAAAAAGGCAGCCTTTGCTGAGTTTCCTTCTAGTTATTCTTAGTCAAAGGTTTTCCGCCTTAGATTTCCGAATTGATGGCATAGCTTTCAACATTCACAAGTGGTTTTAACAGCTTTGATTGAATAATGATATTGAATTGGAATTTCAATCATCATTGTACCGGATTTTACGGATATATGGTCAGTTGCACAAACTTCCATTAATGACGCCTTTAACTTCTAATAAATGTCAAATTTGTATCGGTAATGTCGCTTTAAACTAATAACAATTTTAATGAACATTTGGATAACTGGTTGTTAGTTATTTACCAAGTTATTTGGGATCTAATCAATATAGGTGATATTTTATAGCTTATTTTTTATAGTTTCGATAGTCCAATCGACAGTATGAATATTAATGAAGATCAAATATCGAATTTATCGTTATTGCCACAGTACTACTTCTAATATTATAGACGAACAATTACTTAAGCTAAAATTCCCTTTGCCATGAACTCAGGCAGTTAACTATTAGTGTATGCATAACCCGCTTAATTTCCAATGCTTGGCGTGCCTGGCATTTAGCACACATTCAAGATAATAGACTGAAGCAAACTTAACTAAATTCCCAAGTGCAAATGGATATTATCAATTATAAACTTAATGGTTAGATTTCGTAGAGAAATATAGTTTTGATGACATGTAAATTTTGAGAACTTAAACATTGGTAGTTGGAGAATACTGACATGATACAAAGAACAATATATTCTGATAATTTAAACATAATTCGTAGAATATTTGATATTGCATGATACTCGTATATAATTTGGAAATTAGTATTTCGTATAATATTTCTTCTTATAAGTGCAGAGAAAAAAGAACAATAGAATTATAATTTTAATAACAATTTATACATAATTGACATGCAATATCAAGATGCACGCAATTAGGGGATGACTCATACGATCACACATTTGCTGTACACAAGAATTTTGTAGACAATGCACTTTTAATTTTGTTTTTTGACAATTTTGCATTCACAAAGAACATACAAACTGATAAATATCTTTAATGAAAAATGATGGAAGTCGAAACTACAAAGTTTCACAATCCAGGCGCCTGCTCTAACCATTGAGCTACCCAAGACTCAAAATAAATGTTACTATTGAGAAGAAGAAGAGCTCAGCGGCTTTTGAATATGTTCACAAATTATGTGTCATGGTAGATACTTTCGTATTGTTATAACATGCGCAATCCTTATAATGTCACCTATTATTTATCAATATAAAAAATATTTAATTTTCTAATTCATGTATATTTAAAATAATATATTTAATTATTATATTTGATCAATTTTGCATTTAAAGTGAAGCATTATTTACTGAAAAATACTTAAAAATCCACCTCGTTCCTGGCACTCTAAGATAGGACTCAGAACCCATGACCTTACGCAATCCGGGTGACTGCTCTAACCACTGAGCTACGCAGAACTTTTGATCTGATTAGAACCACAAAGGCAGAGCCATTATTGTGGACCCCACCGCTCCTCTCTCCGCTGCCTCAGTAATGGTACCGTCCGGCCGGCTACCCAGATCCAGGGCCACAGAGGAAGTCCCCTCGCCTGCATATGCAGGCCGACTCCCCAAGTACCTCGCACTAGCAGCGACACAGGCGAGTACCTTGGGGCACGGGAAATGATCGCGCCCGTATGGAAGGTGGGGTGCACCTTTTGCTCTCCATCACGTGTCCGCTAGGCGGAGATGCCGCAGCGCAAACAGCACAGCGAGCCTTCTTACGGCATCACGCCGCCTTGTGCCCTTCGAGGCCACATCTGAAGCAAGCTCCAGCGATCAACATTGGAGGGCCACATCCTCCGTACGTGACCCGTGCCCATGCACTTGAAAAAGCGCAAGGGCAAGTGGTCCAGGCGTAGTATTTTCAGTCAAGCTGTCCCCGACTAGAGACCTGAGATACGCGACTATGCAATCTCCAGTCCCCCACCCATCTGATTAGAACCACAAAAGCAGAGCCATTATTGTGGACCCCGCCGCTCCTCTCTCCGCTGCCTCAGTAATGGTACCGTCCGGCCGGCTACCCAGATCCAGGGCCACAGAGGAAGTCCCCTCGCCTGCATATGCAGGCCGACTCCCCAAGTACCTCGCACTAGCAGCGACACAGGCGAGTACCTTGGGGCACGGGAAATGACCGCGCCCGTATGGAAGGTGGGGTGCACCTTTTGCTCTCCATCACGTGTCCGCTAGGCGGAGATGCCGCAGCGCAAACAGCACAGCGAGCCTTCTAACGGCATCACGCCGCCCTGTGCCCTTCGAGGCCACATCTGAAGCAAGCTCCAGCGATCCTCATTAAACATCCTCCGTACGTGACCCGTGCCCATGCACTTGAAAAAGCGCAAGGGCAAGTGGTCCAGGCGTAGTATTTTCCTCAACTCTCCCGCGTCGATGGAGTCATCGAGCTCCGTGACTCAGGTCTACACGCTTGATAGGTCTTGAGACCTCTACAGACCCGTCAAATCAGTTTTGAAGCAAGCCGGTCCGCCTTTCCTCCACTCTCGCTCTCAACACCAGGAACCATGAGAATCATGGCCCCCGTGGCCGCCTTCCCCCATCCTTTCCCCGGCAATTCCCAGTTTCGGGAGAGAGTGGTTCAGTGAGAGAAGAAGCAGGGGCAGGTGGAGCCCTGCTTTTTTCCCTTGTCTCTTCTTACCGCCTGGGACCAGCTCTTCCCCTCTTTTGGTTTAGCCACCAGCATTGGAGGGGCCCATCCCTTTGCTGTTTCCCTCTTGTGGTTTCTTCTTCTTATCAGAAGCCAGTGGAGGGCGTAACAGGGGGTGCAACGGATTGCGCCACGCCTCCTCCGACTGAAAACCAATTTCCCAGATCTTTGGCGTCACCGATACTGCATGACAGCCAGCCTCTTTATATGTGCGGGGTGCCAAACCAGTCTGATATTCTGCATCCATACTTTTACCCCTCTCCAGTCCCTCAGACCTGAGTTTGCTTAATTCCATGTCACGAACCTTAAGAGCCATTTTTGTCGACTCGAGTTCTTGCCTCAATTTACCATAACCTTTAAAAATCTCTCCACAAAGATCAAACACCTTATACAGAAACGGCTGTGTTGCATTGGTGCGATCAAGCAATTCACGACCAGCCAAGTAATAATCCTTTTGGTTTATTACACCCTCTTTATGCAACTCATAAAGGCGTTCCATTGTATTACCTATCTTCTCAACCAACGATTGATATACGTCAGCAATCGTTGGTTGAGAATCAGCCTATAACATCATCGCCACTAGTTCCTGTTCAGTGAGCTCAAGCTCGCCCTTTGCATTCAAAGTGCCATAACAGCTTCATGTTCACTACTCTTCTCTTTAGTAGTCGCCTCAGCAACCGTCCCTCTACTATCACTACTGTTGCCACTCGAACTCGAACCACTCGATTTGTCAGCCTTATCAACACGGTTAGGACTCCGGCTTCGCTCTCTTACGCCCGAGCTGGGCCTATTCCCCTCTTTCACCGGTTTCCCACTGGCGGCAAAACGCCCTTTCTCATCTCGATACAGCTCCCGCCCGCTTCCGCTTGGGCTAGGCCTCCTCTCATCCACGATTTTTGATTTAAAATTATTGTCTCGCATTCTGTTCCCACGAGTAGTAGACAATTGCTGTCCACTCAGGCAGAGGCCATGTGCCTAAGTAAGCCTAGGGTTATGAAGGCGGGGGTTGGCCGGTCCCCGCCTCCAGAGGCCGTGTCGAGACAGTACTGCCAACTGCCATTCATCTTACAGAGCGTATTTTCATCAATGTTATATTTTAACAAATATTTAAACTTTTGATAAAGATGAAAATTTGTTCTAATTATTATATTTGATAAATTTTGCATTCACAATGCTATGTTGAAAAATATTCTTAATGAAATTTTTTTTAAAAAATCCACTTTGTCCCTGGCACTCTGATATGGTACTCGATCTTTTTTTAAGCATTTACATTAAGAATATTTAAAATTTTAAAACTATTTTTACTAATTCAAAACCGGGATGACTATGCTATAGAAAAGAGCCGAAGCAAAATTGAAATATGTCACATTAATTTCATGGAATAGCTAGCGTCTTTCCTCTGGGGAAATCATGGAATTGATCGGACTTTACCATTATCATACCTTTGGATTACAGACAATTTCTTAGATGGAATGATATGAATACATTCTCTCCATATAAAATCGTTTTCAATTACCACTTCGGTGAAGTAATGATATTTTTTCTCGATTCGTTGATAAAGACATGATGTTGGCACGTAAGCTAGGGTTACTTTGCTACTTATTAATCATCTAAAATACAATATTTCTCAACGTCAAATTGTAGAGGGTATATATTTCTGACGCACATTCTTTTATTATTATACAAATCATTCTTGATACAATTACTTAATAATGATATTAATTTATAGCAGTGATATCGCTAATATATTCATGGAATACGTGATAAAATGCCGATGCGAGTAGAGAGCCTGCTGGAATGCAATTAGGCATACTGTATGTCAGCAATTTGCTATAAAAACGAGGAAGCTAACTTTTATGAAGTTAAAATTAAGCTGTTAACGATATCTTTTTACAGTCAAGCCAATCAGCTTTTGTTAGTGTTTATTTATATCAAAGTTCTAATATATCAAAGTTCTATAATAGCAGATTATTATACTAATGATTAAAATAGGTTACAATGGGTTTTATCGCCGTTACATGCTACTTTTCACTTCGATTGGGGAAAATAAATTATGGTAGTCAATTTATTAGAGAATAATTCAAAAAGTATTGCTACGCTGCTTATTTTTTTAGCTAGCCAAATACTTTGTTGCCAAGGTACAAATATTTTGGACAACTTCTATAGATTGCCCACACAAAATGAGCAAACGTGCTATCTCACCCTTCTTACTCGAACTACTGATTCAAGGACATTTTTTTTCTGCTTGAAAGTACCAACAAACGGCGTTACAAAACATATAAAACGGAATATCTCAATTCATACTTCTTCAAGTTCAAGAAGCAAGTTCTTCTTCTCAGTCGTTACACTCTTGTCGTAGTCACCACGTAGTATCTGGTGGAGTAACCGATGTAGCTTGTCTCAAGTTTTCTCGCCATCTTTCCCTGTCAATTGATATCTTTTAGCACTCATGTAGAGGCATGCCTCATCATCATCATCATCATTTCAGCCGAGAGACGCCCACTGCTGGGCATAGGCCTCCCCCAAAGATCTCCAAAACGATCGGTCCTGCGCTTCCCGCATCCAGCGGCTTCCCGCGACCTTCACCAGATCGTCGGTCCACCTTGTGGGGGGCCTGCCAACACTGCGTCTCCCGGTACGCGGTCGCCACTCCAGGACCTTACCGCCCCAACGGCCGTCAGTCCTGCGAGCGATGTGCCCTGCCCACTGCCACTTGAGGTTTGCAATTCTGTGGGCTATGTCGGTGACTTTAGTTCTTCTGCGGATCTCATCATTTCTAATTCGATCTCGCAAAGAAACCCCGAGCATAGCCCTTTCCATTGCCCTCTGAGCGACCTTGAGCTTCCTTATGAGGCCCATCGTAAGCGGCCACGTCTCAGCACCGTAAGTCATCACTGGCAACACGCACGAATTAAAGACTTTTGTCTTGAGACACTGCGGTAGATGTTCCGAGAATACACTGCGTAGCTTCCCGAACGCTGCCCAGCCGAGTTGGATCCGTCGACTTACCTCTCTCTGGAAGTTGGACTTACCTAATCGGACTATTTGTCCCAGGTAAAGGTACTCGTCGACAGCTTCCAGTGTAGAGCCTCCAACATTCACTGGAGTGGGTACGACATGGGAGTTTGACATTATTTTTGTCTTCTCCATGTTCATTTTAAGACCCACTTGCTGGGAAACTCTACAGAGGTCTTCGAGCATTGTGCCTAGATCTTCCATGGTCTCAGCCATGACTACGATATCATCAGCGAAACGAAGGTGCGTCATGTACTCGCCGTTTATATTGATGCCAAGTCCTCTCCAGTCCAAAAGCTTAAACACGTCCTCCAGTGCGGCAGTGAACAGTTTCGGCGATATAACGTCGCCCTGTCTCACTCCACGCTGAAGTCGTATTGCTTTCGAGTTTTGGTCCTGGAGCCGAACTGACATGGTGGCATTTTCGTACAGTGACTGCAGCACTTGGATGTATCGATAGTCTATTTGGCACCTCAGGAGTGACCTAAGCACGGCCCAGGTCTCGACGGAGTCGAAGGCTTTCTCATAGTCCACAAACGCCAAGCATAGTGGCAGATTATACTCTTCGGTCTTCTGTATAACCTGTCGCAGCGTATGAATGTGGTCTATGGTACTGTAACCTTTTCGGAAACCGGCTTGTTCAGGAGGCTGGAAGTCGTCAAATCTACGTGCGAGACGATTCGTGATGACTCTCGAAAACAGCTTGTACACATGACTCAGAAGCGTGATGGGTCTGTAATTCTTCAATTGGGCCCTGTCGCCCTTTTTGAAGAAAAGCACCACCACGCCCCTGTGCCATGCTTCTGGCGTCTTGCCCTCGAGTATGGCGGAATTAAAAAGCTTCTGAAGCGCTTTCCGGACTGGTAGTCCACCCGCTTTCAGAAGTTCCGCTGTGATTCCATCATACCCCGGCGCCTTGTTGTTCTTGAGCTGTTTGAGAGCCACACTAATCTCGTATAGACTGACGTCCGGGATGTCTTCGGTATAATGTCGGGTTAATTTGGTTCTAGGGTCTGTAGCCTCAATGACAGGTTTCTGTGATGTTGTGTATAACTGTCCATAGAAGCGTTCGATCTCCGCCACAAGCTCAGGACGGGATGTAACGACTCTGCAGTCCTCTGTCTTTAGCTTCGTCAGCAAGCTTTGTCCGAGAGACAGATCTCTAGCGAACACTTTGGAGCCTTTATTCCGCTCAATCGCCTCCTTAATACATTGAGTATTAAATTGGCGTATGTCGCGTGTGAGAGACTTCGAGATCTGTCTATTGAGTTGCCGACGAGCATCCTCAGAAGATTGCAGAACCATTTCACGCCTTTCTTCCATTAGCTTGCTTGTCTGCTCCGAGATCTTGCTTCTTTTTTGAGTACGGCGAGGTTTGAGGAATTTTGAACCCACCGTAAGGACAGCTTCTACGACCCTGTCATTGTATTCGTCCACATCCGAGCAGCTCTCCAGGCAATCGAAGCGGTTTTGAAGTTCGAGCTGAAAGTGCTCGGGGTCCCGGATCTGGGTGGCTTCAGGACGGAGCGTAGACTTCACCAGTCGATACCGTTCAGCTTTTACATTTAGATTCAATGCGCCTCTTACCATACGGTGATCGCTTCCCGTATTAAACGAATTGATCACTGAGACGTCATTGAATATCCGAGTCTTAGTCGACATGATGAAGTCGATCTCGCTTTTTGTCACACCATCCGGACTCTTCCAGGTCCACTTTCGATGCAACCGTTTTTTGAAGAAGGAGTTCATCATATAGAGTCCTTCCCTCTCCATGTAGTCGGCTAGCATTTGACCACGGTGATTCCGGATCCCAGATCCAAAATGCCCCACCTTCAACTCCTCATCGCCACGCTTGCCTAGCCTTGCGTTGAAGTCTCCCATGACAACAGTGTAGTGGGTCGTGGAACCATGTATTGCCCGGGAAATGTCCTCATACATGGCTTCCACTTCCTCGTCGGGGTGCGTCGAGGTCGGGGCGTAAACCTGTATGACCTTCAGCGAATACCGTTCGGTGATTCTGAGTATAAGGTACGCCACCCTATTCGATACACTTCCGATCTGTACAATATTGTTCACGAGAGACTTGTGGACGATAAACCCGACGCCACCTTGGGACAGATCTTCGCCCTCCCGGAAATAGAGCAGGTTACCGGATTTAAGGATCATCGTGTCCTCGCCCTCTCTTCGGACTTCGGATAATCCTACAATACTCCAATGAATCCTGCCCAATTCCTTCTCTAGTTCCAGCAGCTTCTCCTCGGTCCGCAGTGTGCGTGCGTTGTAGGTTGCCAGGGCCAAGGTCGTTTGACGGGGGATCTTTGCCGCCCGGGGATTCTTCGCACCCCTGGTGCCTTCGCCGAGTTGGCGTCCGTCCGCGCCAGCACGGCTTACGGCACCGCCGGGCACTCGGGGCCTTTCGTTTGGTTCAATTTTTATCTCTGAGGGGTTTTGGGCCGTCTCCCACCACGCTGGCCCAATGCGGGTTGGTGGGGAGCGCCAGGGCCTCGTTGGTTAGTCGGCAGGGTGTACCGCGTGCAGGTGAGGTTGGCTTGGGATCCGTTAGATGTTATTCGGACCCCCTTACACCCCTACCCTTACACGACGACGACACCCTTACACGAGGCATGCCTACCATGGACCTAATTTGGTCGGTCTATCGCATTGGCGATCGCCCGCGTGGTCTGTTCCCTTCTTCCCTGCTTTGGAGAACAAGACGTTCCTCGGAATCATTGTTGCGCCTTGAGATGTGGCCGAATAATTTTATGATACGAGTGTGTACAAGATTATATAGACGCTGCTTGACTCTAAATTCTTGCACTATAGAAATATTGGCCCGAAAATCTGTTTGAAATATCCGAATTCGTAGCGTAAATTAGCAAACTTGTAACCACCTATTGCAGCACGGTCTGTCCAGGCTTCCACGGTGATTCATGCTATACCTACATAAATAAAATAAAAGCTAGAGCTTTATCATCATTTTTCTTGCTGAGAGTAATTGATATCAGTCATTGTAGTCAAGAGAAACAAAAATGGTAAATTTCTTAGGTCGAATATAAATTAATAGCAAATGGCGATGGACTAGCTCGGTGGCGCAGTGGCTAAGTGTCGCAGCCTGCGAGTGTTAGGCAACTTTAGCAAGGGTCGCTCACGGGATGGGTGACCAAAAAAATATTATTTCGAGCTACTCCGTGCTTCTGAAGTTACGGTCCCGGCACCATTTCCAATCGTTAATATCCTCCAATCCACATAGGGCCAGCATGGAGGACATAAAAAGGCAGATGGTGATGTACGCGGGGAAAGCAGCGCAAAAACTGTTAAATTTCTCAAGCAATAGTTACTTTAGCTGCTAATGAATGCATTTCGATGGATATCATCAATAACTAAACCAATCAATATAGGTATATGTACCCAATATTCAAGAAATTGATTCACGATCGCATTAACTAGGTACTGACACCATATCAACGATACGAAGCATTGATGTGGTTAATATATTCATGGAATACGCAATTGCTTTCTGTTGATGTGTTAATACCTTTACTGTAGGTACCAAATAAATCTTTATTACCTTATAATGTAGGTTTTATTCAATCAAGGATTGTAGTTCTATACTGTGATAGCGCTGTAACCGAAGTCTAGTTCGAAGCTGGTTTCATTACAAAGTAACATAGTTGATGTGTGAACGCAATAATAATTTTAACAAAACCTTCATTCTATGTAGGTGATATTATGTAAGCACCAACATACCCAACTGATTAAAATAAAGTGAGCGGAAATTCAAGCTCTGTTTCATTTAAAATAAGATTTCCTTTGTAGAACGCGACTTATTGATAAATAACATTGTTATTATTGATGGAGTAAAAAAAACGCTTTGAAGTAATAATTGACGAAGAAAGCGAAGCTATGGGAACACCTGACCTCGATAATTGATACTGAGTGAATACTTTGATCTTCGCAAAAGGCGAAAGGAAAAGTATTAAACATTATAAGTATCAATTTGCCGAACATTTATCTCAAATATTATTTAAAGCATAATTCTATGAATACAATAGTACGCATACTATAAAACGATGTTATGTTCTGTAGAACTGTAGCACCTAATTCTTCATAATTTTTAATGACGATCTGTTGTGTTTGCTGCTTTAAAGACACACCTCATTCATAGACATGTATTATGAAGCTTAAAGCATTATTTTGGTAGCATAATACAAAACCTTATAAATAAATAATGTGACCGGAAAGGTTTTCCAAATCTGGCAAAAGTGTAACATGGCCTTCAAAATCGACGTACATCGATTGTTTTTCCACCTGTTCTGCTTTAACTTGCATATTTTTTATGTTATAGTATAGAACAGAGCAGGATAAAGTTGGCGGTATATTAAAAGTTTCTTTGAGAGTACCACTTCTAAAAACCTGACTCTCTGATTGCTTTTAAAAAATAACAATATCCTTTGACGTAATTCATGAAAATTAGTCATTCATTTCACTTAACAGTGACAAAGTTGTCTACAGTTACGCCCTAAAATAAATTGAAATTATCCGTTGAGAACTATTGTGATCTCATATGATTTCAATATGATTATTGAAATGTCTGCTTTTGTTAACGTACTAGTGTAGAGCATTCACTAAATTGTGTTTCTTTCTTTCCAGCAATTCGTTTGGAGCGATTTCTCAGAAGAGTATGTGCCGACTGACCGTAAACACACGTTCTACCCTTCGGTGATCATCAATGAACATCTTTACGAAGTAAAGATCACGGACGTTCCAGTCATTCCTTATTTCCCCATCAATTCTTATTACGAGTGGGCGCATTACCGCTTTTATGGCTTAAGAAATGCTACAGCTTACATTCTAGTTTTCGACTTATCTAACGTTGAGACTTTTCAGTATATCAGAACTTTAAGAGACCAGATGGTAGAGAGTAGGGACATGAGAAATGTCCCGGTGCTAGTTGTTGGTAATAAACAAGATTTATTGTGCAGTAATACTCCATCTGCTGCGAGTGGTTTACAACAGTTGGCTATAGCAGAAAGCGCTTGCGGTGATTCAAGAGAAAAGAGACGAAATATAGTGAATCTTGTACGGAAACATTGGAAGTGTGGTTATGTGGAATGTTCGGCCAAGTATAACTGGAGAGTGATAGCTGTGTTTAAGGAACTAATGGAGATGATCGATGCTTTGGAATGGAGTGGTGGTGGTAGAAGTGCTGAACCACCTCCTGATTCTTCAGCAGGTGGTGGTGCCGGCTCTCACGAGAATCGTTGTGTGATTGCTTAACACTAATTGGATATTAAAGCGTTTCAATTACAATACATTAAACAAGGAATTATGTATTTCCGAGTATGATCAATAATTATTATCATAATAATTTTTTTATCATCGCAAAAGTTGTTTTAATGCAGTTTGTTAATTTTGATTAGCAACACTTGCAATAAATTACTTTGTTAATCTTAAATTCAATTGTGCTGTTCGAAGTGACGTTCTAATGAATATAATTGTTGTTGCCACAGTGCCAAATTTTATACTGACATTATATAATATTATAAGAATAAATCAACGTTTGTAATTCAAGTGTGATTCAAACTAAAACTGATAATTGTTAATGTTTACTTCTAATAATATATAATTCAAATAAAAGTATTGTAGAGAAGAATCTGCTTTGTTGCATTTGGTTAATTTTTCCAATACGAGCTTCATGTGAAGGGCAATGATAAAAACAATAAACTAATGTAAGAAGAGAAACCTTCTTTACTCTAATGGAGAGTGTGTAATTCGATGTTCAGTGTACCGTAGATATAAGATACATGTTTGCAAATAAATAAGGGGAAAGACTGTTCATATTTTGGTCTTCATATTTAAATTTTAAAATCGATCATATAGCTATAATAGTTATCACAAATGTAAAGTAGTTGTCCTACTGAATGGAGCGAACAAATTATGGTATTTATTACTTCGACTAACAATATTGTAAGCTTTAAATCTTAACAAATTTGAAGTAATATTTATTTCCAGGGTACTTTTACACTTTTCTACCACCTTTCTTGTAATTGTTTTTAGACTTATTACTGTAAACTTAACTTAAAGAATATTAACTGTAGGAGCTGTTGTTTAAGTATTATTATAAATCACTTTGTCATTTCAGATGAAATATGTTAAATTAACTTCTTAGCTTATGTTTCGATTTTATAAAAGCAATGAATTAACTACAAAATGATTCTAAAACCTTAGAACAGCAATTTTACTCTGTGTTGTGCTTTTTAAATCTACGAGCTTCCTCCAATGTTGTAAATAGTATATAAATTATTTCTTATGTGTACAATAGTTGTACTTGTCGAACTATTGATGTATTTACGACATATGTTGCATTATCTTAATCGCCTGAAAGTATATTTCTAAAATTATGGACTTACATTTTTTATTGATCGATAAAAGGCAGCAGAAGGTTATGTTATATTACAACTTCTAAAAAATGTCTAGAGGCCACGCAGTGAAGCTACTAACGAAAATAACAAGAAGAGTGCCCCATTCCGGAGATTTAAGATGGTACTTTTTTAAGCCAGGCAATTGTCATGTGGTATATTACTGATAGCTTCGTCGTTAATCTTGATCTAACTTATATGTTTTTCGGATGTAATAAAATGAAGTTGATATTTCTTCAACTTCATTTTATTACTTGATTGTTACATTGTTTACAAAAATTGATTTTAAGAGTACAACCTCAGATAGCGAGTAGGTAAGTGATTCTATCTTTGTTCATACAGGACAAGTTTATTTTCTACCGAGCTTGCTATCCTACCTCGAGCAAAACCGACCTCTTGTATCCTGGACATTTAATTAGTTAGTGACGGTGTGGTGTGGTCAATATGGTGGACTGACAGATAAGGGACTTATCCTTAGTATTAATATTTGGCTCTCTATTTCATGTACCTAAATACAAGAATATGATACCTATGACGCAAATACTATACAAGATCATCGACATTGAACACACAGTATGACACGTTACCTTTACACGATGCATTTGCACTGGTTGCAACAGCATCATGCTGTAGACAGAAGAGATGTCTCACTTTACTTTTTGCGTCACGTCCAAGAGTTCAAGGAAAGGGAACTGATTAATTAGTTTGACTAAATGATTTCATTATATCTCATGATTTCACTAAATAATGCAAAGCAGTCTTCTGCAATCTAGGTCCTCTTTTGATAATATTAAGATTTAATCTTATCCTAACATTAAAGTTAGATAAAAATTCATTTTTTTGCATGACGCGTCTTACGAAACTATTCGTTATTTAATGCGCAAAAGATCTTTCTTTCGAGTGTGCATGGTCCATTCCATCAAACGTCCATTCAGACGTTAATTACGCAATACATCTTCCATAAGATATGCACCAAGTCTAAATCCTTACACCAACTTCAACTGTTTTTAACAATTGTGTAGATATATGGCATGACTTTGAGAGAATAAAATGCATAAATTATACTTTAAAATGAATTTAGCCGATAAGTTGTACAAAGCATTTAAATGTATAGTAGCAATTATGAAAGTTAAATGTTAGTTTCTTACATATGTTACAATAGTGTTTTCAAATTGCTAGCCAGCAAAATAGACCTTATAACTTGGATTGGTTTAAAATAGATCTCTTTTTTATGATTATTGGAATTTGTTAATGATTAATTAATACTTGATTAGTTCGTTTGATACCAATAATAAATGGGAAATTCTGATTTTTCTGGTTCTGATTTTTTATATGAAATACTACATTTTAAATTAATAATTGTCTAGAATCAATAAAAGCAAGACAAAATTTGTAACTTTATTTTAATTTCTGGACAGGAGAATTCATAAATGATTTAAATATAAGACAGTGTATAATAATTAGCAAACTAAGCATTAAAATTTGAAGTAGGAAGCTAGTTAAAAACGAAGACTAGGACAATTTGAATGCACGATATTTGTTCAAAATTGTGTTACAGTATTTCCTTGCAAAACTAGAAACATAGCTTTTAGTACTAGTATGGCTGAAGTGTACATTTCACTATGATTTCATTGTATGATAAGTCAGTTTTCATAAATAATTGTTATACAAATGTTACACGGTGCAATAAAAAGTTGTGAACAATTTTTCTTGAGTGTTGTTTATTATTTTTACCCGACTGCGCGATGCAAAGGAGGGTAATGTGTTTATCAGTCTATGTATGTATGTATGTTTGTTTCTATGTGGCGTTCTAGAGACCAAATGCGTAGGCAGATTTTGATGATTCTTACGTCAATCGATTCGTCTTAATCTTGCGAGTGTCACTAAAGACATGACAGTAATCTAAATTCACCACAGCGACAACCAGACGCCATACTGTCAAAATAAAAAAAAATCGATGAACTATGTCAAGTAGGGTGTCGTTGAATAGGTATTATAAAATCATCTTTAGGTTTATATTATATACTTTTTAAGTAAATCTTTAGGATATATAACGATTTAAAGTTGTTTAACAAAACATTCCCGCAAATTTTCTTACTTATCGATTTAAGTTATTATTTAAAGTATAAACGATATACAAACAAAAAAAAAACAGTGAAAAAGCATGAAGAACAAATATTTTTATAAAAAATTAAGCATGTAGCTTTGAGCCGAGTCAGGTCTCTAGAGGGACTAATCATCAGTAGGTTAGACCACCGCAAGTTACTTAATAATCCCCACGATATTAACTCCCTCAATAAAATGACGAAAAAGTATAAAATAAAAAAAAATAATTTAAAGCAAAACAAAAAACCCGACTGCGTAAAAACTAATTTAATTCTAATATTCGGGTTTTTTGTTTTTCTTTAAATTATTTATTATTTGTGTTAATAATAAGTTTTATATAACCATATACTATTGATGTCCTCTTTGCTGCGACACAGGCCTTCCATTTGGATGGTGTTAGATAGGAGAACGGCTAAAACCAAAAACTCACTACGTAGGACCAATTTGAACTGATTGGTGTCATCGATTGCAGGTTCAGTCGGGATCAACGGCTTAACGTAATTTCTGAAGCATGGAAGAGCACGAAAGCAATAGTGTAAGTCGTTTAATTGTGACTCGTTTAAAAGCACTCGAAAATTAAGGGCACCCGTTCTATGACCGGTCCTTGTATAAGTTGCTCCCCACACACCATTTACCTTGTGTAATGAAAATCTGAAACATCAAAATGGAGAAAAAAAATACTTATGTTTAATTAGCATTCCATACATTGCTTCGATTGCGTCGATTACATAATTATTTGAACCGATTTTCAAACGAGTTTCTTTAACCTATTAATATTATAGATCCTACATGCTTCTCTACTTGTGGATTTAACCTCAAAACTACTCTATTATCCTCGCAGTAACCGTTCCTCCGAATTCATGCAAAGAGAAAATTAGGCGTAACTTCTCTTTCTTCTTTCATTTCCAGAAACATGTTATTCTAAACTGATGTCGCATTTACTTATTGTAGTGTTCCTCTGGGTATTCTAAACAAATATACAACATAAACTAAGAGTATGTACACACAGCGGCACATCATGTAATCACGATCCACAATCGAAAATTGATTTGATAAATTTTACTTTTGTACGAATTGATGCGCTGTTGATTGTACAAGAACGCAGTGTTTACTTAATTTAGTTCCTAGACATGCCGAAGATAATATTTTATAAATATTAAAATCACATTTACATATATAACACTTATAACACACTTCATCCACGTACATTATAGTAGTCACCCCCGTATGACATAGATGTAAAATCGGTCCAGAAATTTCAGAGTATATTCGAAGCAAACAAACAAATAAATATTTTCTCTTAATAATATTATAGGTAAAGAAATCTTTTCATAGAAACGTGCCTTTATACCTTTGAACGATAGCAGGAAATTCCGTCGTAGTGTAACAGCAAAATTAGGTAAATATTTCGCAACATTCACATTTCCTCAACATTTATACGGATAATGCTATCTGTCATATAAATTAGATGCAATATATTATCTAGACGAAGTCAATAGAAACAAGGAAAATACAGGCTGTATTTCTTCGCCGTTATATCTCATCATGCATGGAAATAATATTGAATTAATAATTCACTTACAACAAAAACAGTATTAATAATACCGTCGATATAAGCTTGGGCTTGCTTATAAAGCGTGACAATATCGATCTTTACATATCCTTATGTAATTTTAAACAAATAGAACAAACCAAATGATCAAATAATGAAATTATGAAGAATCGTTTGTTTGTTAAAATCAACTCTGCATT